CGTGTAAGCCCCCAGGTGCGGGACTCGAACCGCGGTTGACTATGTGGAAGTACAGCGACATAGCCATTATGCTAACTGCTGGTCCCAGCCTAGTATATCTTTTGCTATCCTCTTACTTTTAATCTATATATGTCTTATATTTAAAGGTTTCTTGTCAACGACATATAGTTCGGTCTTGTTTTTTGATTCACTCTGACAATCTCTGGCTTTCAATTGGTATATTTATCCCATTAATGTTTAAAGTGATTATTGGTATAGTTGAATAAATATATACCATATTTGTTATTACTGTTTTCTATTCATTGCCCTAGTAGTTTTGTTCCCATTTTTGTCTTTCATACTTTTTCTGCCCTTTGCATTTGTGATTCCATTTTCTCTCCTTTCTTAGTATTTCAATGATATATTTTTACTTTTTTTAGAGATTTCCTTAGAGTTTGCAATATACATATACAACTAATCCAAGTACATTTTCTTAAAAATTTATTTATTTAATTCCATTTTTTTACTATTATTATTATTATTTTTAATTTGACCAGAAAGAGACAGAGACAGAGAGAAAGGAAAAGTGAGAAAGCAAATCACCAGATCTGGGACTCAAACCTTAGTCAGCCATGTGGGAATCCAGAGCCTTTCTTTAACCACCAATCACCTGCCAACACCCCAATTCCATTTTCAAATGACACTATTCCTGCCTCAAAATTACAAACGGTTCACCCCTTGTTTCACGGTATTCATTCCACTTATATATTAGCTATAATCATAAATATATTGTTGCTATTATCATTTTGAGCAGACTGTTATTTGTTAAAACAATTAAGAGGAGCCAACAGTTGGCATGGTGCATAAGGCACTGGATTCCCACACAGCAGATGGAGGGTTGAGTCCTGGACTTGGTGGCTTGAAAAATCACAACAAGTAAATAGATAGATAAATAAATAAATAGATAAATAATTTTTTTTAATTAAGAATAAAAACAGTTGGTTTTTTTTTTATGCCTTCTCTACTGCTTATCCCTTCTCTACTGCTCACCAGTTCTTTATGTAGATCCATGTTTCTGATCAATATAATTTCCTCCTTCTCTGTGAGGAACTTCTTTAAATATTTCTTGCAGGCAGGTCTACTGAAAACAAATTCCTTCAACTTTGCTTGTCTGAGAATCTTTTTCTCCATCACTCTTTTTTTTAATTTTTAGAATTATTTATTTATTTAATTCCATTTGTTATTATTATTTTTTAATTTGACCAGAGAGAGATAGCGAGAGAGAGAAAGGGAAAGTGAGAAAGCAAGCCACCAGGTCTGGGACTCAAACCCTAATCAGTCATGTGGGAATCCAGCGCCTTTAATCACCACACCACCTGCTGGCCCCTCTCCCTCACTCTTGAAGGAGATTTTACCAGATACAGAATATTAAATTTGGTGGGTATGCTTCTCTCAACACTTTCAATGTTTCATTTTACTTTCTTTTTCCTTCCTTGGCTTTTAAGGAAAAATTGGATATCGTTCTCATCTTTACTCCTTTATAGGTGAGGTTTTTCTTCTCTGCCTTCTTTTAAGATTTTTTCTTTGTCTTTGATTTTATGCTCTTTGACTATGATATGCTTGGGTAGGGTTTTTTTTTTTTTTTTTTTTTTGGTCAGTTTCCTGTGTTTTGTTGTTTCGGCATTTATCCTGCTTGGTGATCTCTTAGTTCTCTGCATCTGCAGTCTGGAGTTTGACAGTAATTAAAATATTTCTCTGTTTCTTTCTTCTCCTTCAGATATTCCCAATATACATATACCTTCTACCTTATGTAGACATCCCACAGTTCTTGGACATTCTTTTATTTCCTTTTATTTTTTTTAAGTTTTTTTTTTTTTCTCTTTGTACTTCTGTTTTGGAAATTTCTATTGACATACCTTCCATCTCAGAGATTCTTTCCCAAGTCATGTCCTGTCATCAAAGGCATTCTTCCTTTCTGTTAGTTTTTGATCTCTTATCATTTGTTTTTTATTCTTCCTTAGAATTTCTCTGTGCTTACGTTCTCCATCTGTTCTTGCATGTTGTCTATTTTTTCCACTAGAGTCCTTAACATATAAATCATAGTTGTTTTAAATTCCCAGTTTGGTAATCCCAGCATTACTGACGTATCTGACTCTGGTTCTGGCTGCCGTATCTGAATCTGTTTCTGGGGCTTGCTCTTTTCTTTTTTTTTTTTTCAAACTGATTTTTGCCTTTAGTGTGTTTTTGGTTGACCGTTGCACATGATGTACTGCATAAAAGGAATTCCAGTAAAATAGGGCTTTAGTGAGTGGAGGTGAGGTGCGGGAAGGGGAAGCCTTCTGTCACCCTGTGATTAGGTCTGGCTCTTAGTGGGCCCGTGCCCCTGGGCTGTGAACTTTGCCAGTGCCTCTGAGTTTTTTCCTCTCCTTAGGTGTGACAGGAAGGCTCCAGGGGGTTGGAGTTCGGTATTTCCCTTACTCAAGGTCAACTAGGCTCTGAGGAAAATCCAGAAGGTTTGGTTCTGGTAAAACAGCTTCACTTGAGAGCAGGCCTGGTTGAGTGTTCTGGCATATTTTTAAATGGTTTGTTTCTAATTCTCCCTGCTTGGAAGCATGAGGGGATCTTTCTGTGATATTCGCTGTGAGAACCTGGTAGGGGCCCTAAAGATACAACTCACAAACACGTCCCCACCCACTTCACTGAATCTTCTGAGAATTTTTAGTTTTCAGGTTTTCCAACACGGAGCCTCCAGAAATGCAGTGATAGTGCATGTTTTCCCACCCTGGTTCTGTTTCCAGAGGAGGCTCATGCTTGTGGGCAAAGATTTAAAAAGACCCTAGGAATACTCTAGGAAATTCTCTGTATCTACCCATGTCTCCAGGTTTTAGGGCAACAGTTTGCCCTGCGACTTACTTTCTAACAAATCTAAGAGTTGTGGAATTTTCATTTTGTTCTAAGTTGTTGTCATTTAGAATGACAACTTCCCAATTCCTTATACACATACCTGATTGGAAACTGGTAGTCTTTCTACCATGTACTGAAGACCCATGTGGAAGAAAAGTGCTTTTTAGAAATTATCTCCTTTATTCCACACATCAACCCTGTGAACTAATACCATGACCTCATTTTCTAGAAGTAATTTTAGGAGCTCAGCAAGAATTAAGTGATTCCCTCAAGGTCACACAGTAGCAAAGTAGGATGTGAATGTGGATTGGTCTGTTTATACAGCCTGTGCATGTGCCAACTCCCCAAACTAATCAGACTCAGGGTAGGGCTTTAGGCAGACACACAGGCCAGAATCAGAGACCGGCCATGGCCCAGGGTAAGAAAATCAGGCAGAGCTGTCCCCCTGAGTTAACAAGACATGGTTGGGTTGGTGGGAAGCAAGAGAGGCTAAGGTTTGTAGGGGAGAGTACGAAAGAGAGGAGAGCTGCTGAGAAAGAGCGCTGGAGAGATGCAGTTGAATATTAATCAACTGGACATCACCTAAGGCTGTGGAAAGAACCAACCAAAAGGATAAGAAAGAAAGTGCTCCCAGCTCACAGGAGGCTGGGATACAGAGCCTCCTAATTCAAGGGGCATCAGTCAGTGTATTAAGGGTCTTGGGGGCCTGCAGGTTGTGTGGTGATTAAGAGCACTGGACTCCCACATGGTCGACCATGGTTCGAATTCCAGACCCAGCAGCTTGAAAGTCACGTGGGGCACATGTGCATACATGCCCAAAATCCTGAGAGGAGAATGAAGGAAAAGGGATTGTGGCATGGCCATCCCCCACGGAGATGATTTCTCACTTTGTCTTTCTCTTTCTGTTTCTTTCCAGCAAAAGCACACACCCTATGGAAAAAATAAGAAAAGAAAAGAAAAGAAAAGAGAAAGAAAGAGAGAAAGAAAGAAAAAGAAAGAAAGAAAGAAAAGAAGGGTCTTGTCTCGGTAGAGGGGAAAAAGCAACCTTATACTAAATATAGTTCTAGTCCCACCTAACCAAAGCATCAGTTTGCAAGTAATTTAATTACTTCTGAGAACCAAACTCAAGATTACTTATAGAAATACAAAAATCTATAGCATCCAACCAGTTAAAATTCACGAATGTCTGGCATCCAATCAATGACTACCAGCCACAAAAACAGCAAGTAAAGATTACCTATAACAAAGAGATAATCAACCAATTAACACTGACCCAGAAATTACACAGATGGTACAATTAGTAGGCAATACCATTGAAACAATTATCTTGAATGTATCTTACATGTTAAATGAGAAGAAAGATGGACTAAGAGAACCAAAGAAAACTTTTAGAGATAGAGACTATAATATCTGAGATGAAAAATATAGTGGATGAAAAAATTGAGATTAGACACACTTAGGAAAAAATCTGATAAAATATACGTAAGACCTGTACACTGAAATGATAAAATGTTGCTCAGATAAATTAATGCTGTCCATAAAAGAAAAGACTGCTATACTTGACTTTGTCAAAAGTAAAACTTACCATTCTTAGAAAGGCATTGTTAGGAAATAGAAAGCCACAGACTGGGAAAAAAGGAATTGCATATCCGGCAAGGGATTTACTTCCAAAATACATAAAGAACTCTTACAAGTCAGAGCTGAGAAAACAACAAATTAAAATATGAGCAAAGATTTGAAAAGATCCTTCATTCAAAAAAGTAGATGGATGCTACCAAGAACATGAAAAGAAGTTCAATATCACAGTCACTAGGGAAATATTAATACTACATTGTGCTGGCGTCAGCAGGTGGCATGGTGGTTGGGGTGCTAGTCTCCCACATGACTGGCTGTTGTTCAAGTCCTTGATCTGAAGACTTGCTTTCTCACTGCCCCCCCACCCCCCGCGGTCAAATAAAATAATAACAATAATAAGTAAATGAAATTAAAATAAATTAAAATAAATCATTAACAAGAAAAAACTATAAGGTGCTGCTAACTGCACACAGAAGGTCTAAAATGAAAAAGACTGATCATATCAAATGTTAGAGATGATGTGGAGCAACTGGAATTCTTATACATGCTGGTGGGAGGTAAGTTATATAACTATTTTAAAAAAACAGTTTGGCAGTTTCTTAAAAAGCTAAAGAGGGGCTTTTTATGACAGGTGGCATGGTGGTTAAGGCACTGGACTCCCATATGGCTGACTGTGGTTCGAGTCCCAGACCTGGAGGCTTGCCTACCTACTTGCCCTTTCTCTCTCTCTGTTTCTCTCTGGTCAAATTAGATAGATAATGATGATGATAATAAATGAAATAAAATAATTCTTTTTTTTAAAAAAAAACTAAACAGTGACACAGTGATAAAACATGAAGCTTCACAAGGCTGACTCACGTGGGAATGTTTCAGGTTTGTGTCTGGAGACTTTCCTGGGTACACCAGGTATATGCCTACCATGATCTGGGCTGGCTGAAGTTGGAGGAAGATAGTGGCATCAGGACCTCGTTGGGGCTCAGCCTCTGTGGCACAGTCTGTAGTATACTGAATTACAGAGCAGGAAGGCACATGCTGACTGTGGTTTGAGGCTTAGCCCATCAGTCTAAAAAACATACTAAGTATGCAGGTATGCCAGGATCCTGGCAGGCTGGAGGACTGGAAGAAGGGGATCACAGCATGACTGAGCCCTGTGGAGGGTGCTTATCCCCACCCTCACTAAAATATACATATGTATGTGTATATATATACACATATATATGTAACACATATCTGCCAGGGAGCAGTGGTGTGGTAGTTAAGGTACTGGAGTCCCAGACCTGGTGGTTTGCTTTCTCACTTTCTCTTTCTCTCTCTGTATTCTCTCTGTCTGATGAGCACACATGCCCTGGAGCAAATTAAAATAATAATGATAATGAATAAATAAAATTAAATAAAAATAATTCTTCGAAAAAAATGATATATCTACTGTATGATCCAACTATTGCACTTGCAATTACTTACTAAAGCGAGACGAAAGCATTACAAAAACTCATACCTGCATATTTATAATATACATAGCAACTTTGTTTGCAACACCTAAAAACAACTGTAATGTAATCCACATTCCAAGGCCAAGGAGAAAAAACAAGGGCTTGGCCTGGGGATAACTCGCAGAAGGTTTAAACAGGGCCATGTGGGAATGGGAAGTCCTAGAGTCAGGAGCTCCTGGGTGTCTAAATGTGAACGAATGATTTCGCCGACCCTCAGTGTCTTCATCTGTACAAAGGCACACTAATATTAGTACATACTTCACAGAGTTGTTTCGAGGCTCAAAGGATCTAACAGCACATGCTTAGCAGAACTTAGACTTTTCACCTGCTAAGTCTTTGCTATCACCACTGTACCATTGTCAGCATCGTCAGCATGGTCTACCTCACAGGATTCTTGGGAAGCTTACACAGGCAGATTGCGTAAACTGTCTGCTACAGGCATCATTAAATAATTGGCAGCAGAGTGACAGGTGCTGTAAGATTGGGTGGTAGGAGGTGCTGGAACACTCTCGGGAAAGAGAAAAGAGTCCCGTCTGACCAGGTGGAAGGATACTGCCCAAAGGCTGGGACATTTAGCTGAGCCTTGTAGGATGTACAGAAGTTCCCTGGGAAGGAGGGGAAGGAGAGAAAGGAAGAGAGATTGCTTACGTGACAACGTGGCTTTGAGAGAGCCTGAGCATGTCTGGGGACCATGGGGCAGTTTCATGCTAAACTCACTAATTTAATTCTCACTTTTTATTAGTTCTAGCATCCACGTCCAGTTTTGACATATTAAGAAACCAGTGTGATGATCTCACCCATGGTCTGGTGAGTACTCTCTTGCTTCTTTCCTATGATTATTTTTAGAAACAATGTTTATCTATTTTTAAAAGAATTATGTATTTAATTTTATTTGTTATTATTATTAATTTGACCAGACAGAGACAGAGAGGGAAAGTGAGAAAGCAAGTCACCAGGTCCAGGACTTGAACCACAGTCGGCCATGTGGGAGTTCAGCACCACTACCAGCCCTGCAGAAACAAAGTTCTTTTCTTTTTTTTTTAAGAGAGATTTTTGCTAAAGGGCACATGAGCTCTTTAGCTCCAGAGAGAGAGAGAGACAGAGAGACAGAAAGCAAGAAACCACACCCTGAGGGTGTATGGACATACCACCATCCTTTCTCCATTCTCCTCTCGGGATTTTGGGCATGCATGCGCACACACCTGGCCTGAGTTTTAAGCCATGGAGTCGGAGACACAAACTGCAGTCAACTATGTGGGAGTCTAGTGATGTAACCATTATGCCAGCTGCTGGTCCCCAAACAAAGTTCTTAAAATATCTAGGTCTGTGGTCTTTCCCCTCAGTTGCTAGGAACCTTTAGGACCACTTGCAGCAGGAGTGCCTGGCCTTTCACTTTCACAACTCAACATCAACACAACTCCACTATTATCCAAGTTTGCTTCCCCCATCCTTTTGGCTACTAATTTACTTCCTTTAATTTGTCTACTCAGGCACCAGCTTGCACAGACTCAGGTCTCTGCACCTCGCTGCGTCATGACCTGTTAACTTTCTTTTTCTGACCACGTTTTGCCAATGCAGGTTCCCAAGGGTGAGCACCTGGGTTGGTTCATCTCCTCTTTTGCCTCATGCCATTGGCAGCCTTTGGGTGGTGTTCCTCCTCCTTCCAGTTTGTTCTCTCCACAGAGGATGTTTTAGTCCTCTAGGGCCACTATTTTAAAATGTGACAGGGATTGGCAGGTGGTGTGGAGGTTAAGGCACTGGACTCCCACATCGCCAGCCACAGATTGAATCCCAGACCTGGTAGCTTATTTTCTCACTTTTCCTCTCTCTCCAGGAGTATGATAGGGCAGGCCCTGCAATGTCAGCTCTCATGCAGACTTCAAACACTGAGCCTTCATTTCTCCCAGGTCCCGAGTTTACTCTGCTACGTAGCACTGCCCCTCATCCAATCTGTGAGAGAACTTGAAAGGCCACTTAGAGGACTGAACATTTTTACTCCTCAGCTTTGACTGTCTTCCTTCTGCCTCCTAAAAGCTCTCTACATCTTCTTCTGCTCATTCACAATCGGAACTAAAAGAGCCCAGAAAAATCATGCGCTCCAATCTGGGCGTTTGGCAGGTAGAAATCAGAGAGGTTAAATGACTTACCCAAACTAAGCACTGATTCACGCAGAGATGAGATGTAAACACAGACCTGGTTTCCTGCTAGTACTTTATCTCTACTAACCAGTACTTGACCCCTGTAGGCGCGGCCCTTCTCACTCCCCCTGGACCCTGATGAGGTAGAGAAGCTGGTGCTTCAGACCAAGGGAGGCAGCAGGGCCCAGAAGCAGTGGTGACGATGCCCCAGACCAGACTGTGTGTAGCAGCATCCCACTGCATTTGGATCAGGCTTTGGGGTTTAGTGGGTGAGTGCCTGGGGGCCCAGGACTAGGTTTGGCTAGGAGATGAGGGGCAGAGAGGCAGGGGATTGGCTGATCAGGAGCAGAACCTATAGACCTACCTATATTCTAATAGTTTCCTGTGGCTGCTCTAACAAATGACTACAATCCGGGTGGCTTAAAATGACAGAAGTGTGCGCTCTCACAATTCTGGAGGCCAGAAAGGTGCTGGGCGGGGCTTCACTCCCTTCAGAGACTCTGGGGAGAATCTGTTCCTTGTCTCCTCCAGCTTCTAGTGGCTTCAGTGTCCTTTGGCTTGTGGCTGTGTCATTCCTATGACTGTCTTCACATCTCCTCCTCTGTGTGTGTAGTTCTCTCTCTGTCCCTTTCTCCTCTCTTATAGAAGGACTTGTGATGGTGGCATGTGGGGCCTACATGAACAATTCAGGATAAGATCCTCCTCTCACGAGCCTTAACTTAATTCCTCTTCCACCATAGGTAACACAGGTTCAGCGATCTGACGTGGGTATCTTTGCATTTTTTTAAAAGAATTATTTATTTTATTTTATTTCTTCTTCTTATTTTTAAATTTGCTATAGGACAACTGTGCTTGCCAGGGACAGAGAGAGAGGAAAAGTGAGAAAGTAAGCCTCCAGGTCAGGGACTTGAACCAGAGCCATGGGGGAGTCAGCCATGTGGGAGTCCAGCACCACAACCACCATGCCATCTGCTGGCCCCATGTGAGTATCTTTTCAGGTACCACTTTTGGCCCACCACAGACCTCTCTATCCCACAGCATGACCCTCCCTTGTGATGGACAGCCTCTGGACTGTGGGGGAAAGGGCAGCAGGCCAAGATTCTGTCTTTATTTCATTCTGGGAGTAGAGGGGAAACTGGAGGTAGGAGGAGAGAGGGAGAGAAAGAGAGGGAGGATGAACTACGGGCTGGGCTTGCCTGTGTCAGTACTGGCTGGAGCCAGGCAGGTAAGAGGAGATGATCTGATAAGAATGGCCTGGGGGAGGGGACAGCAGGTGGTGTGGTGGTTGAGGAGCTGAACTCCCACATGACTGAATATGACTGACTGAAAATCATGCCAGGCACATGTGCATGTGTGTCCAAAATCCCAGGAGGAGAGAGGATTAGAGTGCATCCCCCCTGGGGGTTGATTTCTCACTTTTCCTCTCTCTGTCTCTCTCTGTCTCTCTCCACTTGCCCTATGGGAAACAGGAAAATAAATACATTTTAAAGAGCCTGGGAAGGGGTCAGGGGATGTCCTTATGCCTTTCCCTTCTCCCCTGAGAGTTAGGAGCTGAGTTAGAGTTAGCTGAAGTCAAGCATGGCGGCCTCTGAGTGATCCTGGCAGTTTGTTTCACATTCGGGGCCTCAGTTTCTGCATCTGTCAAATGGGAAGGATTCAGTTACTGTGTAAGATAATGTTCAAGATCTGAAACTCTGGATTTAAAGTATCGTTATAGTGACAAACGCTCTCATAGCTGCACGGTCCTCTCTGGTAACACAACGTGTACCGTGTGCTCATTGCTTACCATTCAGCAAACATATTCTTCCACCGTTGTGCCTGACCG